TTTAATTAATAAGTCAAGTATCAATGAAATAAATATTTTATCCCTTATCGTTCGAAAGTTTAAATTTTCATCCGTCTGTAAAATGTACTTTTTGAAGATGTTTTCAATGAAAAAAAATTAAGAAGATATAAATCTTGCATTTTCGGATTCTATATGAACATTGGGACAAAAAGTTTAATCAGAACTAGTAAACGTTATTTCATTTTCATAATATTATGAATACTTTTATGTCATTATCAGTATAATTCTCTCTCATCCACCTTCTTTATCTTTTTCTGACATTCAACATTTAAACGGTTGCTGTCCATTGTTCTTTTCTTAAGAGATGTTCGACAGATCTATATTTGTCTCCCAAAAAGCTGCTGCGTGACCTTTTACGTTAACCAAGTATTAACACCTGTCTACATGCGCAACACAGATAAAACATGATTTTATCTACATAATTACATGAACATATACATTTTTAACTGATATATCTTAAGACGTGATAAATGAAAATGATTGAATAATAACCTTTATTTATCCAGGATAACCCAATTAGCATGAAGCTAGTTTTCAATGTGGTCCTGCATTAAAACATATTTACATCACATAAGTATATACAAAATTAACATCTTAATATATAAACACAAGATGTAAAAGTACAACACATACATATATTAACATAAAGAAGCGTATCATTTTATACACTCACACATTGGTAAAAAAATTCATTTAAGTATTGAGTCTGTTAAAATACTCAGCGAGATACACAGATTTAAAAATATCCACTGACCTAGAGTTTCGAAAATTTTGTGACAGTTTGTTCCATACAAATGCAGATGAATATCTGAATGAACGTTTGTAATTTTCTGTTTTGGCTCGTGGTAAATACAATATGTTTGACATGAAATCATTCGACCTGGTTTGGCGACAACTGACATCTCTTGTATATTTAAACACATTCAAATAAAAAGGGATTTGATTCTTTAAAACCTTAAATAGAAAAATGACCTGTCTAAACATAAAATTATTCTTGATTGGCATCCAGTTTAAACAGGAAAATAAAAAGGTAGTAGGAGTTAAAATATCTCGAATGTTTAAGAGTATCCTATTAACTTTTCTAAATACATTTGATTTTTCACATTGCACCAAACAGTGGAAATACAATACTATAAGAAACCATAATTAAAGCATTTGGTGACATAAAATGACTCACTCTCTTAAGCACAGCAAGTTTTCTTAAAATTTTCTTTGAAATAAAGTCAACATGAACATCCTAAGATAAGGTATTATCAATATAAACACCAAGTAATTTGGCCTGCTTCACAAATTCAATTTGAACATCATTCATATTTATGATAAGATTTCTATATTTTTGCAACCCTTTGGATGTGCCAATAAGCATGCACTGCGGTTTTTGGAGATTTATACTGATTTCTACATATTTATATGAACACAAATGTATATTATACATTTTAACTGATATATCTTAAGACGTGATAAATGAAAATTATTTAAAGACCTCAAAGTACATGTATCCTTAAATTATCTTCTTATGCTATGAATTTGCACATTATGTCTCAAAAATAATGTTTACACGGTGATTCTAGGAACATGTAACTGCTGATGAAGATCAGACTACGATTCATGCCAGAGTTGCTGTTATATGTACATTTATGACTGACCTCATGATTTTTTGACAGTGCTTCATAATTGCATATTAGCCAAGAATCCTTAGGTGATCATTTTTGTAATGTACCTTTTCAATCAAATTAGTTACTTTGATGTAGTTTTCCTCCCAAAATTACAAAATTTGATAGAGAGGAAATGTGTGTTTGAAAATGAAAGTCCAGACATTGCCAGATTGAACATTTGAGTTAAAAATTAATCTAAACCCCCTTCAAACAATGATCGCCCACACTTATGAAAAAAAGTCAAGATGCATGAATTTGTGAGAAACTAAGCTCAACGTCAAATAAAATGGGGTTTTTGCCAGTAATATGTCAAACTCCAAGGTAAAAATTTCATGAGGTTAATATTAATGATTTCAAAGTAAGATCTTATCAAACAAGAAGAAAAGCAGACCAAAATCTATATTCATCCGAATCTTCGATTACAGAGACACAGAAAGAAAGTTTAGTTTCCAACTTTTGGGATCTTTTACAATCTTTTAAAAAGATCAAGCAATATTAGGAGGAAAATTTCAAATCAAAAATTATTTATTTTTTCATTGGTTATAATTTTGTTTAGTACTATATATGATTATTAGGAGTTATAATGGTCATTAATTCTTACATTTTAAAATATATATCACTAAATATTTCTGATAAAACACTATGAATCGATATATCTATTATGCACGCATGATTGAACTTATGATTGTAAAATTTTCCAGTAAAAAGTCACCTTATTTTTAAAAGAAAGTCATTTTCAGTATTGTTTTTATTAAATTGCAATGGAATATTTTACCAAAGCCTTGTTTAAAAAAAAAATACGATATTCGTATTTCCATCGAAACTTTTACTTGGCATACAGCTTTACGTGTAGTATCGCATGATTCCGTTATTATATTTATAGTTTCATCTTGAAAGATAACGGTAACGATAACGCCACTATCATTATCCAACCCGAGTAATGTCGAAACAATAAGAGAAAAACATGTATACAGTCTTTGATTGATTTCATTCTTTAATCATTTGCTCGCACCATGTCTAATTCTTTATCAAATAATGAACATCAGATACCTGCTTTCATTTAATCTGATAGACATTTCATTGTTTGAACAGTTGTTAATATGTATTTGAAATATTTATGAAAGCTCAGTGCTGAAACAACATAAATGAATGGGCTCAGCACAGCATTCAGTAACCAAGCCAGTTGTGCAATTACAAGAAACTCTTTTTCCTTGCTCTCAAATCTATATAATGAAAAGATGTAACATACAAGGAAAAGAACGGCTGATGACATGTACACGATTAGAATTAATGACGTCACAAAGGACATCTTGATTATGTTGTGTTCGATGTTGTGTTTGCTCATTGAGCGCTTGAGACGATGTATCTTCTTCACATGGAATATAATAATCAGCAGGGCAGGAACAATAATAAGGTAAAGACGAAATGTTATTATCACAGAACTAGGTGTCTGTATTCCTGCTTTGTATCGTAGCACGAAATAAAATGTTGAAAATAATATGCTTACGATCCATATAGCAGCTGATGAGACGATAATGTTTCGCTTACGTAACTGATTGAATTTTATCGGCTCCGACACCATATAGCATCGAAGTCCAAACAGAAAAACCACGTGAGCCGCAGAGGCATGGGCAATACCGTAAAATATGACCAAAAAAGTGGCACATGGAACTTTTTCAAGACGAAAGTTACCAAACTTGAATCCAGCATGAGCAACGTATAGAAGCAAATTTACGACATCTGTGAATATTATAGTTCTAATAACAACAAATACGGTACCTTGGAAATTTTTGTCCCACGTGAGCTTCACCAATGTGAGTACATTTCCTATTATTCCAAGCAGAGTTATTGTAACCACAAGAACGAAGTGATCTTTGTGTAGATAAATAGGTACATCTCGTTTTCTCTCTTTATCGAAATCTGTTTCATTCTGATTTAATAAGACATCAAAAGTTAGGTCCAGAATTCCAAGTGTACCATTTAAACTGAAAATTAGTTTTGTTTTAATCAAATACAAGAAATATTTCGATAAGAAATGTGAATAGATATAGTCAATTATGAGGCATTTAAAATTTCCAGCTGAATAATATTCATAACTTATATAATATATGATAAAAAAGAAAAATGATTATTAAAAATTCAGCATAAAGTTTAAGTTAATTAGCTTACCTCTCATATCCAATCATATTTTCTGAAGTCTTAAAGAATTTGTATGCATCAACCTCTCTTTGGCTTACTAATGTTTTAAATACAGTGAGCTGTATTCTATACCAGACTCTATCGCAGATTAGATGCTCCCTGATGCACGTTTCTCGCTTTTGTGTTTCACAAGTGCCTTATCATCTGAATTAAAATATATATGAGTTAGTCAAAAATAAAAACAAATAATTTACTTATTTCTTATTGAATTTCTTTATTGTTCAGAACTACTTTCTTTCTAGCACAAAAGGTGAAATATTGCGATTTTGGCATGTGTTTATAAAAGTACGCCATTGTCTTCTTTCCATACTCATGGTGATACTAATATATGTAGGCAATTGCAAAATCATCGGCATGTGTGATATGTAGGTAATACGTAAAATATACACTTAGTTAATAATAATCGCCAAATTCAATACTGTTAGATACCGTAATTAAAGAAAGTAAACATACACGAAAACATAAACACATTACGAAATGCATGTTTAGGTCAACACATTGGTCACAATTGATGAATATAAATCCTTGAAACAGTAGATTTTTTTTTAATTCAAAGAGAGTTCAATGAGAGTCTAGGTATATATAATGTATTCACCGAAGTTAACACAAAATGTAATAAGATAATAAATTAATTTCCAAAAAAATTACATATTAAAGTCTTATGGCAAATATGAGAAATGACATGAAAAAATTATTACTAACAGTTAAAACATTTTAAAAACTGTAAGCATATTTGATCATTACTGGTAAATGAAGATTTTCATCTACTCAACAACCACTTAGTGAAAAAGCATAAACTTATGGGGAAGAGGGTAGTGTAGAATCTTCGTTTAAATCATGACCCCCAGGTAGGGTGGGGTCTCAAAGGGTTTTAAAATGAGGAAAAACTGGTGTAAAACAGCATTGCCAAATTTAATCATGTGAGCGTTGGGGCCCATGAGATCCTTGTTTATTAATAATGGAAGTGTACATGTACCTATAAGCAGTTTGTATATGCAAGCTGCATGGCACTTCTGACGAAATTCTCAACAACCGTGCGCAGAAAATATCGCACCTTTTTGTATTACGAGATCTGAAGCTTTTTGGTCAGAGACTGAAATATTAAACCACATGCACGGTACTGTTCTGTTGCCATGACCAACGATGATTTTTTTATTAATTGAAAGACGTTTACTTCGAATTTGTTTTTTTCTTTTTCTCTTCATATTAAATATAATTTCTTCGAATATACTTTATATATATCCTAGGTACTTACAGTTTTACAAAAGGGCGCAACTTCTTTTTTTAAAAAAAATTAATTCTTATTAAGTTTTTAGGCTATTTTCACACTTATCATTTCTCCAAAAAAATGTACTTTAAAGCTCACGACATTATAGTCCTGCAGGCATGTTTACGAAGCTGTCTTATGACTAAGAAATGTCTTAAGATATACTTACGACAATTCTTAAGACTAAGTGGGGTTTACGAAAGTATCGTAACTTAAGAAAGTTCTTAAGAATTATCATAAAGTTACGACAGGTTTTGACATATCTTAAGTCTATCGTAAGTAGAAATAGCTGCGTCCATGTTGTTGCTGGCTCGACGAAATCGTCGTATCAGACGTGAATGAGTATTTAAAGATATAGGAAGAATTCGAAAGACTGATTGCTAGTATATCGGGACCGTTAACGACAGCTGTAAAAATTATATACCACTGTAGTATATATATTTCGTTAAATAAAATGTTTGATATGACTATTAATTTTTGTTGATGTATTTATCGAAACATATGTAATACAGTTTGACTGGTTAATGATATTCGCACTTTTTCATTTAAAATAGGTATTTATTTTGTAACCCCCCCCCATCCTTGAAGCCTCAACGCTATCTAAAAAAGTCATGGATTTTTTTTTTATTGTGTATATATATCAGATGGTTTTTACATATGTTGAATTATTACACAGTTATAAATGTAAGTTATATTTACACATGACACGGATGTAGTATCGATTTTATTGGGGGGGGGGGGGGGTTAGAAAAAGAATTCAACTTACATAGAAAAAGAATCTAGATAACGCACATTTAAAAAAAAAATTGACAAGCGAAAAAGAACACCGAAAATTT